TTTTTTTTTGTCAAGTGCGATTAACAGTTAGAGGGAGATGAACGGTTCCATTGAGTTTTACGAGAAGGGGAGAAAGCAAGAAAGCAGAAAACTGATTAGCGAATTGATGAATTGGGATGGAACCATTGTTTTCTGGTTATTAGCTCGGTTTTCAACTAGGGCTGTGGAGAACTTAGAGTAGAAGAATAAAAAGGGAAATCCATCAACCAACGCACCACTAACTTTTCCATTCATAAAGATACGCACTGTGCTAGAAGATTTGGGTAAATTACCTTATCCTCTACATCGTAGTATGCCGAACCCTCGATGATCATTCTGGCCTGATCATCAGGATGATTTGACTCTTCGAAAAGCTCGTCAATCTGGAACAAGTTCAAAAGTGGCCATCTTAGCTATGGTCCGGCCAATTACCTTATCTCTGAAATTAGCCGTAGTCTCAGCATCCAAAGTAAAAACATCCTCCTTATTGAATTGTCGCTCCATTTTCATCACTTTAAGACGTTTCGACAACGCAACTGGGTCCAAAGTGTCAAGCTATTCAGAATACATTTTCATTTCTAATCAAAAAATTTGAAAAAAAGCAAATACCGTACCTTCCAATAGAGCGTACCCGTTCTTCTTGACAACTCGTCCGGAGTGATAATTTTTGGCGGGAAAACATGATGAGGTAATCGCGGATCACCGCATGGGTACGGTTCCATCTGCCAGATTTGCACCATCTCCTATAACTACGCTAGTTTGAGAAATCAAACAGGTTTAAACGCTATTCTAGAATTCCTCATAAAAGAAGTTAGATAAGCAAAGTGCATGGTACGTTTCTGTCACCAATGTTAGTCTAGAAATTTTTTTAATTAGGTGAGCAGACATACAAATCTAATGAAAAGTGTCGGAGCTTCAGAAATGTGCATTTTAGAAGCAGAAGTCATGCAAAAAAATACTTAGTAAACTAGCAAAAGCATTTTTGCAGAAGAGTAATATTGGATCGTTGTTACGAGGGTTGCATTAGCATCTATTACCTTTCCAATCTAACGTAATTCAGGGAAACTAGTATGTAGAAACACGAGGTTCTTTATAATTAGCTATTTATCTGGATAAAAAAGAATCATAAGTGATCAATGATGAGAGATTTCTACAAAATGAAGCATTATGACCAGATGAAGTCAGAATGCACTTTGGAAAACAAATTCAAAGATATTTTTTGAGAAGCACATGAAAGATTGAGTTTATAATGCAAGATTGCCTTACAAATATTGGAATGATGTTTGATGAACCACTAAGAGTCGGAAATGAATAAGAATTTTCCTGTTGAGAGAAATTAGAAAACTACTCAAAAAGATTTCATTCCAATTCCGATTTTTATGTACACTCGCAACATCAGTTTTCTATAATTGCTTCTAAAATGAGCTTTATTGAAAGCGAAAGCATAGCTTATGGTCATGGAGCGTAGTAGACATTGTCGCCCTTTTCCCCCTCCCTCTGGAGTATGAAGAGACAGAAAGAACAAAATCTTCAATTTGCAGATTTCAGTCCCAAATAACGCAAACGCAGTGTACTACAAGAGCAAGAGTAACATAGAGGGTAATGAGTGATCAAAGAGCAACTTGTATGTGACTGTGACCAATTAGTCAGAAGGCTCAGTAAGATTAACCTGAAAATGGAGGTTAAACGAGGCGCGTGGATTTTATCGGAAACACTTGCGAGAAAATGTACACAAGTAACTTTGTAAAAGTACTGCAGCAATACCCCACCCTTGACTTGACTTTCAACCGCTGCCCCGTGGCAGGAATGCGGTTTACAATGGCTCGAAGCGGTAGGCGGGCGGTGCCCAAATAAGGCGAGACCAGCGCTGTAAATAAACTTGAGCCAATCTGTGTCTCTATCATAGAAACTCTATTATGACAATGTAAGGAACGAAGGCATTCTGTAGCCATTTCTTTCATTCTGTTATGGTAGCGATGCTGGAACGTATCGATGAGAACCCAAACTGTCACATCGCCAACGTGAAAATGTTGTAATCACCTTTGCAAATGCTGCAAGTCGATCATTTGCAAGTGTTCTAACTTGACTATATTTCTTAAGTTTTTAAAAAAAAATTTGAGATTGCAACAGACAGATGACAAAGGTCTCTTGAAACAGGGCTTTCCATCAGTCTCCTTTCAAACACAAGAACGCCGTGTTTTCTTTGACAAACTGATGATTCGCATCAACTGTACATATATTATAATATTCTTTGAAATACCACAAAGATAGTTAATAGAAGTTTTTCCTCAAAAAGCTTGTTTTTATTTGTTTTTTCTATCATTGAAGTTTATACATAGTAGCTTGCTTTTGATTAAGAAAATTTCCAGTCGAGACTGTGATCTGTTACCCTTATCCGTACAGAACAAAATTTTGTAGATTGCCTTCAAATATGTAGATGTAATCTTAGACAAATGGTTTTTTTTT